TTTCTTTTCAGATGTTCTGTGCAATAGAATCTGACTGGACTTTTCATTACAGCTCTCCAGTATTGGTATCAGTATATAAGAGTCTGTGTATGGTAAACATGTTGGTAAATGTTGAACAACTGGCTCTCTAGGGAAATAAAATGTCTGCACGATACACTTTTAAGTTTAATTGGTATTATTAACATTTAATCCATCACTTTCTCAAGTCTAGCTGATCAACAAAACAATAAATCGAGCTCTGATTGGTAGCTTGCTGGTTTCGGAGGTGTTAATGCTCACACTGAAAGCTTAAAAATTGGTTCTCGCAAGCCTGTTCCTCTGGTGCCAGCCCTGGACCAGGACACAAAAGCCAGTTAGCACTTTCCCCCTTCTCCCTTGCACGCAGTCCCAGCCTCCCTATAATATCTGCAAACTTCAGCCTTCACACCCACTGATTCTCTTGCTCAGCCTTCTGGGTTCTGAACTCCTGAGAGTCAGTCATTCAACAAACATTTATTAAGTGTCTGCTATGTGTTCAGATACTATGCCAAGTGCTGGGGATGCAGATACAAAGAATGAAACAATTCCCACCTTTGTTGTTATTGTGCAGTTGTTTCAGTCATGACCCCATTTGGGGTTTTCTTAGCAAAGATACTGGAGCAGTTTGCCATTTCCTTCTCCAGCTCATTTTCCAGATGAGGAAACTGAGACAAACAGGGTTAAGTGACATGCCCAGGGTCACACAGCTGTAAGTACCTGAGACCAGATTTTGAACTCATGAGGATGTGTCCTGACACTCTCTCCACTGTGCCACCTGCCTCTTATCTTTCAGCTTGCTCCTGCTTTGCCTCACACAGCACCTCTCATCTGTTTTGCTTTCTGCTCCCTCTTTCTTTTTGTGAACACACACGGCCTCAAACCTCCTTCAATATACCTAGGGGCTACTTTCTGCTATCATACCCTTGGGGATATCTGATATTAGAGGCATGTCTCAGTACCTCTCAAACAGGCATGGGCAATGGCACACAGCTCTAATCCTGTCCAACCTCTGGGACACAGCTTTTGTATAGTTCAACCCAGACATCCCAGACTTGAACACGATGTACTTGTTAAGCCTTGTCTGAAACTTCTGCTTCGGCTGTCTCCAGTAGGGACTAGGACTGTGATAATTGGGAGCTCCCTTTGTCCTTTCAGCATTCTTTTGGGCTGCTTCCACCAACTCCTACCAAATGATTGCAAAAAGAATCATACCCAATTTAATGTTACTTTATCCCAGGCAGAAATTATATTTGCTATTAAATAAAAATAATCTAATATATTGCAAAGTAAAATAGATGTGTTAGAACTGATCTGTGCTATTGATCAATTTTAGTATTGAGTAATTGAGGTGGCTTGTATTTAGATAGATAAAAGTTATCATATTAATCCTAATATGATTACCACATGACACCATTAAGTAGGGACTCTCTCAAGTGCCTGGGGGTGCTCTGTTTTTGAGCTTTCCTTTGTGGGCCTTCTTTTTAAGGGAATACAGTTATCCTTTCCAAATCATGATTTTCCCCATTGTGGTTTTGATATACAGTGGGTTGGCATAAGAAATTAAATGGGAGTTTTTGGGGAGTTTTGCAGAAGCCACAGACAACATGAAAAGGCCAGCAGACAACACAGAAAAAGTTTAGAAACTCAGAAATGCATAAAATATATGTATAGTATTGTATAATGTAATCTATAACCAAATACTTAACCCAAATTTTATAATAAGGTATTGTAAACACCCCTAAGAAAAGGAAAGGAAATTCAGACTTCTTCTCTGGCAGGAAGGGAGGGTCAAAAAATTTCATGTGGATTTTCCAGATCATGGGGGCACTGTGCCTGTAATTCCAGCGATGTAGAAGGGATACCTATCTTCTCTTTATAGGAAGCATACAACAGTGGAAAAAGAGCTAGCTTTGGAGTTAGAGGACTTGGCTTTAAATCCTGCCTCTCTTTCCTGTGTGACCTTCTATAAGTCACTTAAATTCTCTGGACCTCATCATCCTCATTTATAAAATCAGGGGGTTGGAAGAGATGTTCACTAAGGACCCTTTCAGCTGGAAACTTATGATACGTTGATCTCACGGACCTATGAATTTTCATTTTTATCCCCAGCACTTTCTCTTGCTAGTGCTGGGTGATCACCTAGGGGCAAGACCCTGGCACCCATCTCTGGGCCTTCTTCAGATAGGTCCACCTCTCACCATCACCTTCTGCCGCCTAACTGGGCTACCCTAACTCCCTGGCCAATAGCTGGACCTCTTCCTGTCTGCTGTGGGCTCAATGGCCAATAAGGGAACCTTGAGCTTTCAATGGTACAATCATCTGCCTCCCTCTGACTGCTGACAATGTGCTCGGACTCATTCTTCATTGGCTAGTATGTTCCCATTCACTTCTACTCTTCTTATTCCAGGGATTCTGAACCCCTGGTTGCCAATTACAAACCTCATTACATGGCCCCAGCTGCCTACTCCTTTATTCTCATGCACTAACCTTCCCCTTCGATAATATCCCTCTTTAGGTCTGCCCAGCACTTCCATTGTGTCCTCTGTGAGAAGATTAAGATTGATTCTGTATCATTTTCTTATTGCTCTTATTTACAAACAATTGATTCTGTTCCATAACTGCTTTTGTCCAGCAACTGTTTAAGTCATGATTCTTTGTCTCTGAACTTAGTTCAGATTGTAGCTGGCCTGTAATGAGTTAATTTTAGAAATCCAGCTCTCCTGCTAATTGCTGATCTATTCTTGCTTCAAGGAATTTTGCTAACTTCGGGGAATGTGTGAGAAAGAAAGGAAGTCAGGCCTGATATCTTCATTCCACCAAGTGATCCTTCAAGGATGTCTGGTTTGCTGTTCAAAAGTCTGGGCTGCTATCTTGCCCCGAACTGTAACAATGAGCCCTTCTTTGTCTCACGGGGACAGGGGTGGGGGTGTCGTTGCTAGCCTCCATGACCAAACTTCCAACCAATCATATTGTTTCCTGTGCCTCAGCTCTGGAACCAATCATGTTGCCCTCGATCTCATGATGTCATCTACCCTGTTCTGTTCTTTGTTCTTTACTCCCCAAAACCTACATAAGGGGAGCTGTCCTCTTGCTCAGGGTTTTTTTAGCATAAATGGAGGCAAGCCACTGACCCATTTATTGGCAGGTGGCATGTCCCTGATAATAAATGTTATTTTGCTTGGAATTTTGCCCTAATTTACATTTTTGTTAAATTCCAATGGAAACATCTGAAATGCCCGTTCCTCCAGAATTAACAAACATACTACATTTTAATTCTTTTCCTTTCTTACTTCTTTATTTTGGGACTCATTTAGACCTGGTTTCCTCCTGATGCTACGCTTTACTTGTCACCATTTTCTGTATTGGCTTTACTTTGATATCTCACATGTAATCCCCCCCTGATGATTATGGTCATTATATTTGGGGAGTCATCATATTTGCTCCCCCAAACTATTTCCAGATCCTCTCTCTACCACATTTAGTCAGCAACCTTTCCTTTGAGGTTTGAGTAATCCAAATTTATCCCCAATACAGATTCTGATGGCTATCATCTACCAACCCTTGAGGATATTCTCCTTCCTTCCTTGATGAATTCAGCTCATAGTATTTCTCTCCTCTTCAGCTCTTGCCCTTATTCTAGGGAACTTCAATAAACATATTGATTTTCTCTCAAAACCCTGACTTCTCAATCATGAATGAACAGTCACCCTGATTATGTGAGAGGTTTTTCCTTATCTTCATCTCACTCCCCTGGCTTCTCTCACCACCCAGTGTATTTCTCTTTCCCTCCCTTTCCATTCTTTTAAGATCATCAAGATATGACAGAACTCCTCCAAAGCCTTCTAATTAGACTCCCTTTATAATTCCTGATGATAAAAGGGATGGGGGTATAAGAGATGCATTTATCATCTTCCCATAGAAGGTAATCAGTTTGTCCCTGTTTAGTCCCTTATGATTATTTATTCGTATTTACAGGGGTACTTTTTTTTTGACTCCTATATTTACTCTTCAAAGTTTCTACACAAATCTGGTCTTTTCATTAGGAAAGTCTGATAGTTCTCAGTTTCATTAAAGTTTCATTTTTACTCTTCTAGGATTAGACTATTTTGCTAAGTAAATTATTCTTGGTTATAAGCTTGTATCCTTTGTCTTCTGGAACACTGTATTCCAAGATTCCTGTTTTTTTTTTTTTTGTAGTGGTGGGTGAGGAATTATGGATGATACTGACTGTGTCTCCTCAGTACTTGAATTTTTCTTTCTGGCTGCTTACATTGTTTTTTCTTTGATTTGGAAATTCTGAATTTGGGCTACAATGTTCCTGAGAGTTTTCAGTTTAGGATTTATTTCAGGAGTTTACTGGCAGATTCTTCCTGTTTCCACTTTGCCCTCTGGTTCTAAAAGATTTGGGCAGTTTTATGATTTCTTGAAATATGGTGTCCAGGCTTATTTTTTTCTTTTGTTATGGTTTTCAGGTAGTCTAATTATCCTTATATTTTCTCTCCTTGATCTATTTTTCAGGTCACTTGTTTTTGATAAGATTCCTTACATTTTCTTTTATTTTTTTCAGTCTTTTGGCTATTTTAATGTTGGTTATTTTTGTTGAAATCATTAGCTTCTACTTGGTCCATTCCAACTTGTTGCTTGGGCAAAGTTTTGTACCTCTTGTGCCAAGCTGTTAATTCCCTTCACAATTCTTTTTTTTTTTTTAACAACTCTCATTTATTTTCTTTTTTTTCTTCTAACACTCTAATTTACAAAAAAACATTAAAAACTCTTTTTTTCATCTCTTCCAAGAGCTCTAGTTGAATTTGTGTGCTCAAGCTGTATTTTTCTTTGAAGTTTTTCTTGTAGATATTTTGGAGTCATTCTCTTCTTCTAGATTTGTGTCTTGAGTGTTGTCACCATAATAGCTTTTTTTTTTTTTAATAATGAGATTTCTTTCTTGCTTACTCATTTTCCCAGACTACTTTCTGACTCTGGAATTTATGTTAGGGGTGGGCTCTGCATACTTCTGTAGGGAAGATCTGGGTTGGTCATGCCGTTACTCTTTTGAGTAACTGAATGTTATATTATTCTAAGATCTCAGGGAAAACTCAGATTGGGGATCTGCAAGTTTTCAGCGCTCCCAAAGTGGTCTGATCTAGGACAGAGTCTTCCTGCTGCTTCTCTAGGATTGTGCAAGGTACTGACTTGGGTTTTGGTCTGAGCAATGGGTCTGTGGGATTGCCCCTTTTGGAGCTTCAGTAGACTGATGTTGGACTCAATCACCATCAGCCAGCTGGAAAGCTCTGTTGGTTCAGAGTTTCAGCAGGCTTTCTTTTGGTATGAGATTCTTGCCTGGCTATTCTTTTTCAAGCTTAATATTGAGCTAGAAATTGGAAATGAGACCCCACTCAATTCCTGAGGTTTGAGCCACATAGCTTTTGCTTGCTTCTGAATTTGCTTTTGCCTCAATACACATTCCAGGCACTTGACCACTCCTCATTCTGGAATGCATGTCCTCTCCTCAATCTGCTCTGGATTTTTGGCCCAGAACTGGGCAGTGAGCAACAGAGGTGCCAACTGGCACCTATTACTGCACCCCATATGAGTTTAAGTTCCTCTCTGTTGGATCTGGAACCTCTTCTTATTCTTATTTCATACACCCAATTTCTAAAGGAAACTGAGTCTTCCCTGGGGAGAATAGGACAAGAATTTTGGCTGGTCATTCTTTTCTCATGTCTGAGGGGGATACTGGCCTCTGCTGGTATAGGGGTGCAAGAGGTTCAAAAAAGGGACACTTCTCTATTTGATTCTAAGTTGGGAGGGAGTAGTCCTTAGCTTATACCTGTCAATTTGGCCCCTTCACACCAAATGCTGGTTACACAAAAGACCGTCATAAATAGTAAGTAATAGGTGAACCTTTATATCCAAGCAAAATAGCAAACATAAACTGGTGACATTCTACAGATTAGAATATGCTGGAAAATAAACAAAAGTGAATGAGCTTTCCAATTAGGGGTGAGATTTTTCAGCTCAAACTAAGAAAGAGGCCCAATCATACTTAAAGCAAAATTCCTTGAAGTTTCAAGGAAGGCAAGAAGCTGAAAGTTAGGGATATGTGGAGGAAGTTGCTTCCCCTAAGTGTCTGAACCTTAGAAAAGTCCTTTTCTCTATCCTCCCTTTAGTTACCCAAAGAAAAGCTGGAACGATGCATTTGTCTCTAGATGAAACATGTCCCCTTTCACAAATACTCTCACACCAACTTACTTTACTCAGGTAGACATGCAGCATTGAGTTTGTGCTTTCTCTACCAAAACAGTGGCATGCCAAATCCCTCAGGCTTGGATGCGTGGCTCTAGTTATTTTCCTGTTGTCTCCCCCGTTTGAATGTTGGGGTGGAAAGGGGGAGATCACTGGGAATGTCAGCTCCTTGGAGACATGGGCTATTTTTGCTTTTATTTGTAGCCCCAGCACTTTGCTAAGTACCTGGCATATCACAAACACTTGGTAAATGTTTGTTCAATGACTAATTGCCTCCAGGACTTGCGGAGACCAAACAAGCCTTAAACCAAACTCGAGAGGTCACACTAGCCTTAGAAAGACACTCTTAGGGAGGAAGACACTTCTTTTTTCTGTACTCCAAGCCCCCACTTCCATCCTTCTGATATTCCACAGGGAACTTGTTCTCAGAATATTTGGGGGCTTCTATTGGTGAGTTACCATGGCAACCACTAGGTGGCTTCTTCTGATTTCCTTAGAATTTGCAGCTCTCAGAACTAGGAAAAAAAAATAAAACCTGGTCAGAGTTTAATTTTTCCTCCAAGGATGTGGTCTCTTTTTCTTCCTTCCTCCTTCCTCCCTCCCTCCCTTCCTCCCTCCCTCTTTTCCTTCCTTCCTTCCTTCCTTCCTTCCTTCCTTCCTTCCTTCCTTCCTTCCTTCCTTCCTTCCTTCCTTCCTTCTCTCTCTCTCTCTCTCTCTCAGAAAATATCAGGGAAGTCACAAAATCCTCCTGGATATGGAGGGCAGAGTAAAAACCTGAAAATGTGAATAAAATTGGGGTTGTGGAATAAAACTGGTTGTATCAAATTGAATTATTATGTTCATTATTGGATTATAAACTTTTAGAAAGCAATTGTATGTATCTATTTTTAAATAATTATTGATATTAGAAATTTTTTTTTTATCATGTGCCTGTTAGTATCCCAAAGGCTCTATGGGGTAAAAACACGTGAAGTACAATTGCTACCCTCAAGAAGTTTATCATCTAGATGGGGGAATTTAAGATAAACACATGTAAAAAAATTACCAAACAGGCAGCATATGCTAATAAATTCTAAATGAATCAGATAGAATTTTGTCCCCAAATTTTAAATCTAGAAGAGAACTTGGAGATGTTTATAGTGTTCTGTGGGGGTTCAGAGGACAGTGGTGAGAAAAATTCTAGATGGGTTAACAAAGGACAATTTCCTAGAGAAGGTGTGATTTGAACTAGATCTTGAAGGATGGGCAGGGTTTGGATAGCTAGAAAGGAGGGAAGTGGATATCCTAGGTGGGGGAAGTGCTTTGAGAACAGATGTTGGGATAGGAAAATCAAAAGCACATTGTAGGTACAGTTTTGCCTTGAGTAAATGGCTCACTTAAGTACCAGTGGAGGCACAGTACAAAAAGAAGTGGCTATGGGATCAGGGGACAAGGTCTGCCACTTACTACTTTCATGACTTTGAGCAGTATCTTTGCCTTTCTGAGTCTCATTTCCTCATTTGTAAAATGATGGAGTCAAACTAGATGACTTTTGGGCCCCTTAAATCTATGAGTCTGTGAAAGTCATATGAGATGAGTTAGGAAAGGTAGATCAGGGCCAGCAATGGCCTTAAATACCAAGTTCAGTTGGGGTTTCCTGCATGCCATTAGAAGCTATCAAAGGCTTTTGAGCAGGGGTATGGCATGCAAAAAGTAGCATTTTAAGAAGATAAATCTGTAGGATGCAGGGAAGGGAGGAAAGGCTGGAGGTCAAGAGGTCAGTCTAAAGCTGTTGCAATAGTCTGACTGTGACCTGCTATGAGCTTTGTGGGTGCTCAGTCCATAAGTAATAAAGCCCTGAGTAGCGTGCAAATGCTTTTGTTGAGCTATTTTTCATCCTTGTGCTGATGTAAATCATGAGTTTATCTTCAATAGGGGTTTAGAAAAGCCAGCTGTCAAAGCTTACAGAAGGGAAAATACCAGATTAAAACCAGACGCCCCAGTAGTCGTTTTGTAGGCATCCGCCTTCACTTAGTGTTATCCTTGGTGACGGATGCTCTGATGTGCTGATATTCTGCGGACCCTTCTCCTTCATTTCCCTGCTTAGAGGCAGAATCTAAAGCGACAACATTCCTGATTTGTGACAGGTGTCCTTCAGGCTAAGGTCACTGTCCCCGAGTTCAAGAGTCCCAGCCTGACCAGGGGCTGGAGACAGCATGGAAAGAGCTTGGATATAAGTAAGAGTAAGAAAATCAGGATTCAAATCCTGTGTCAGCTAAGTCACTTCATTACTCCGAGTCTCCATTTTATCCATGTTCTTTCCCCCAGAACGGTGCCTTGCACACAGTAGGAGCTTAGTAAATGTTTATTGGATTGAATTGTCAGTCAAGTAGGGGCACAGTGTGTGTTTGGGAACTCTCTAGATGAGTGATTTAGGATTTTTATAAAGAGAGAGACCACTCTGGGGATGGAGGGTAGGTGGCAGCAAAGGGCCACCAGCTATTTAGAGAGGTGATTGGCTTCCTTTATTTTCTGCTTGTCAGAGATAATCCCATGGACTGGAAGCTCCAGGGGCTCAATGTTCTTTTCCTAGATGGGACTGTACTTCCCAGCAAGCTGGCTTGCTACACGGAACCCAGCATCCCCTGTTGGGGTGCTGTGATCTCTGACGGCGAGGGTCCTGTGATCCCTGATACAAACCTACCCAAGGCTTCTTGCCGGGTTTACGGTTGTCCCTGATCTGGTAACATAGCCCAAGGGGGACATGTTCTTTATGTCTAAGACTACAAGCAGCTCCCAGAATGTGACAATTCACAAGACCTTCTCAGAAACACATAACTATGAGTGACCACGCATGTACATATACCGAAAGCCAGCTACAACCATCAAAACCTTGTAAACATTTCTCCTTTAGAGAGACTACTAGAGGCGATTGCTGGGTGGTGCAGTGGACAGAGTACTGGGCTTGGAGTCAGGCAGATCTTAGTTCAAATACAGCCTCATATACTTACTAGCTGGTGATCCTTGGCAAGTTTCTTAAACTCTGCCTCAGTTTCCTTAACTGTAAAATGGGGATAATAATAGCACCTACTTCCCAGGGTTGTTATGCAAATCAGATGAGAGAATATTTGTAAAGTGCTTAACACAGTGCCTGGCACATAGGAGGTGCTTAATAAATACCTATTCCCTTCCTTCCTCCTTCTTCTCCTGCCAAGGAGCACCATACAGCTGTGAAGAGATCTCATCTGGCTTCCCTACCCTCCCTCCTTTCAACATATTCAGTTGCAGCAAAGTGGGTTAGTGTATGTACTGGCCCTAAGCCTTGCTTGCAGCTTCAGAATGGGAGAGGGGGTTGGTATCCTTTCTAGGGCTACTAGAACAAATGCTACCTTCCTGCCTCACATATCAACTGTCCTGCACCCCTGATTGTGGCAACATCCCCAGCTGTCCTGTTTCTAACACTGTACAATGAGGAAGGATTAGAAAATCCCCCCAAAGCTTGCAAAATGTCTAAGATTAAGGCAAACAAGTTAGGGAGGAGACCTAGGTTTAGGAGATCCACATGTCTGCATCCTGGATCAAATGGTCTGTTACATCCAGAAGGACAGAGACAGAGTCAGAGCAGTCTTCTAAGAGCAATGGGTAAAAGTTGTAATGAAGCAAATTTAGGCTTGATGTCTGGGGAAAAAAAAAACTTCCTAAGAAGGAGAGATGTCTCAAAGTAGAACAGGCTGCCTTGGGAGGCTGTCTGTTTTCCCTCACTGACAAGAGTCCAGCTCATGCTGGATGAGTACTTAGAGTGAGGATTGTGGTTCAGGGATGTATTGGACTAGATAATCATTGAGGTCCCTTCCAACTCTAAAATTAGTTGTTCTGTAAGAAAATAAAAATAAAATAATAAAACATTGTTTTGGACACCAAAGGGCAGCTAGGTGCCACCATAGCTTATAGAGTGCCAGGGCTGGAGTTAGGAAGACTCCTTTTCCTGAGTTCAAATGTGGCCTCAGACACTTAGTAGCTGTGTGACCTTGGGCAAGTCACTTAACCCTGTTTGACTTAATTTCCTCATCTGTAAAGTGAGCTGCAGAAGGAAATGGCCAACTGCTCCAGTGTCTTTGCCAAGAAAACCCCAAATAGGGTCAAGAAGAGTCTGAATGCCTAAAGACAACTGAACAACAACAACATAGATATCAAAAGGATGAGGGGGATGATATGACCCCTCTTGGAAGCAGCATAGCATAAGCTGGCCTCGTAATCAGGAAGACTTGGTTTCATGTGTTGTGTCTGGGTACTTATTGGCAGGGTGACCCTGGACAAGTCAGTGCTCTAAGCTGCTCTGTAAGTTGTAGAAAAGGTGGCAACCTGCATTTGGTAGAGGGGATCTCCTCACCTGGAAGCTCCCTAGCCAAGGAAACGATCACAGGTCCAGCTCCTGTCTCTAAAGTGAGACGATTGTACTAGACGAGCTATCAACCCGATAGCTTGACATTATGCAGTGCGTCATGTGAGCCTCGGTTCTTGTAAAAGTCAGAAACGATTCATTTTTGTTGTTGTTCTTCCAAGAGTTATCATGTCAGTGACAGGCAGGGCCTTTAATATGCCTTTGGCCTTGGCATATTAAAATAGAACACCTTGTTGAGGAAGGACAGAACTGAACTTTTTTTTTTAAGTTCCCACTATAACCAAAGAGATTTAGAAGTGCTTCTAAAACTTGATTATACCTTAGTTTTAATTTTTGTTCTTTGTCATTCCTTCTTGTTCTTGACAGAAGAATCAGTCAGTCAATAAACATTTATTAAACACCTATTATGTGCCAGGCAATATACTAAGCTCTGCATTACTAGATTCCCCCTCTCCCTACCTCTCTGAAAATTTTGATGTAGAGAAATCATGAAAATAGAGGCTGGCAAAGTAGATAGAATGTGGACTTAGAGTTAGGAAGACCAGGCTTCAAATCCTGTCCACAGATATTTACTAATTGTGTGACCCTGGACAAATCACTTAACTCTAACTCGATTTCCTCATCTGTAAAATAGGGACAAAAATAACACCTACCTCCCCGGGTTCTTGTAAGGATTAAATGAGGTAACATGTGTAAAGCACTATATAAATGTTTATTATTATTATTACAACATTAATAGCTCCTGCCTCACGGGGTTGTTGTGAGGATCAAATGAGATAATAATTGTAGAGAATTTAGCACAGTGCATAGCACATATTAAGCGCTACTTAAATATTAGCTATTATTACATTATTAAAAGCTGGGTGCTTTCCTTCCTCATTGGGATTTTAATAAAAAGCCCAGTTTTGAAAACAGTTGCATATTTGGGGTGCTAGAACTTTTTGACTGATGAGAAACCTTTCTTCATGCTGCCAGCCATGTGTGACCAGTGTCTCTGAATTTACCCAGACTGGATTTACCCAGACTGGCTCAATCTTGGAGGGAGTTCACTAAGTAACTCATGCTTCTGCTCAAGGATCCCCTGGGAATGTCAGAATCTGGTTTGTTTTGCCCCACCCAGAGTTTTTCCTGGGAATGCTAGAATATGACTTTATCTTTGTTCCTATAAGAAATAGAAAAAGGACCCTTAGCCCCCATGTAAGCACTCTGGCTAATGATATATTGAATAGTTTTTAACTCAAGGAAAAAATGCAAAGACTCCCAACTGAGTCCCTACATGGTCGAGGGAATTTTCTTTTGCTCTCTGGTGAGCCCTGAATCTATACATATCAGGATTTATAGTACTACTTGGGGGTTGAGTTACCCTCAGTCCAGCCTCCACCACCTCCCTAGGAGAATGCACTGGGAGCTGATCCAGAGTTAGTCTCTTCTCCTGGACCTACACAACCCAGTCAATGCAAGGTTCACATTTGTTCATCTGCATCATAGCTCTATACTGCTTTGTTCCTTAGATCCAGAGATGGACACTCATAAGACCTTCTTAGACAGGACACGTGGTTGTATAGGCTTTCTGAGTTCTTATGAGTGTCCAACTAGCTTCTCTCGGTTTCATTTCCTAGGTCATATTCTCTTCTCTGTCTCTTTAGCCCCCTCAGTTGCCATGATTTCATGACCAATGTGATGTTTATCATCTTGATAATGAAGACATTGCTGAAAGTCATCATCTGCCTTGTACTTTCTCCTTTGTCCCTTCTCTACCCTCCTGACTCCTCACTCTACATCTCAAGTTGCTCCCGTAGGTTGCTGAGTTCCAGTGGCTAGATCACTATATTATTGGAGGGTATGGGCTAGAACGAGAGCCAGTGGCTGGTCAACAACGTGGTAAGTTCTCACTATACTAGCTGATCCAAGTATCTGGGTCCTTTACGTGTAATATAAGAATTTCCAATAAGTTTCTGGCCACATTTTAAGGATGGTGGCCATTTTAAAAGACTGAAGATGAATTTTGAATCTCTGGGTGATTAAAAAAACAGAATGCTTTAGGTGTGTATGGGAATTCTTTGAATTCTAAGTCATATTTCTGTTTGTTAACCATATTTTATCTTGCCTTCATAAAGGTACTGTGAGGCAAGCAGGACATATTTTTGTAATTTTTTTTTTTTTGTAGAATCCTTGTCCCACATGGGCCTCCAGAAAAGTTAACCCAGATTCTGGGTTTCAGTACTCTGCGAAACTGTAGCTCTCCTACCAACAGATTGCATCAAGGCAGATTAAAAGCTCTTTAGTCTATAGAAGCTATTGGTCACCACATAGTTAAAGGCAACTGAGACCAAGACTGAGAATAAATTTATTCTTTTGACTGTGTTTTGTGCTAATCTGAAGTCCATTAGATAGGGTTGGAAAATTTTTGATAGCCCCCCAGTTTGGCTCCTAATAGGAATATTGTGCCCTCAAAAGCCATTTCAGTGCCCCAAGACTCTGTTCTTCCCTCCATCCCTCCATTCGAATCTCAGGGAAGTTATGTGGAATCCAGGGGTACAAAGTTGACTTTTTTCTAAAGATTCCTTTTGATTGACATTTCACATGAAGCAAGAACAATGGGAAGTGATGAAGGCAAGATCAATTCCATTCAACATTTATTAAATGCCTGAGATATGCAAGAAACTGTTTCCACCCTCCTGGTCCATATTCATGTATGTGTGTATATATACACATATATGTATATATATGTGTATGTACACACACATACATACACACATATCTGCCAGTAACACCACCACCAAAACTCTGGGCCTTTGCTGTGTATTCTGGTCAGTGAAAAACCTGGTGGTGCAGTGAACAGAGTGCTGGGTCTGGAATCTGGAAGACCTGAGTTCAAATCCAGCCTCTGAAACATACTAGTCATGTGACTTTGCCTAGTCACTTAACCTCTGCTTCAATTTCCTCAACGGTAAAATGAGGATGATAATAATAGCACTTATCTTACAGGGTTGTTATGAGGATCAAATATTTTTAGAAAGTATTTAGTACAGTACATTTGCTATGTAAATGCTCATTCTCTTCCCTTCTCACTTTTCTTCCTCCTTCCCATTTATCTTCATTTCACAGATGAGGAAACTGAAAACCAGAGAGATTTAGTTATTTACTTAAAGACTCAGGGAATTAATGGCAGAATAGAACATGAAATCCACCTCCTGATTCTCAGGCCAGTGCTCTCCCCATTGCATGGCAATGTACTCTTTCACCCTGAGACAGCGCTGGGCCAGGGAGGGTTGGCAGTACCGCAACTGCGATTGATCCATCACAGATGGGGTCTGTCAGAGCCCCAAACATTGGTGATACCAGAGCACTACCTCGTTCCAAAGCAAGTCTTGGATTCACCCAGAAAGCACTTACATAGTCCACAGCAGACCATTTGCCTTGCTGGCACTTCTGAAACACTGTGGGCACTCAGCAAAGATTCAACATCAATCACTGTAATTCTTTGGTATTAATCTGCCTCCTTTTCCCTTTAGGAGAACACATGATTGTGTCAACACTATCTTATTGTCAACAATGCTCCTGAGAAGTGGGGAGCTGGCTTAATTGCTTAGAAAGTTGTCTATGTCTCATCCCTCTTCATTTAGGAGTAGCCTGTGTCCACCTGTTGTCAGGATATAAAGTCAGTAATGGAGAATTAGCATGGGAGCTGTTTTCCACACAATATGAAGTTATTGACCACGTGAGAGACAATAATAGAGCATCAGAAAGAAGCAGGTGAATCCAAAAGAACATTTAGGTTTCTGCATGGGTGAACACTTTGAATGAACTGGAGTGAAGACTACAATAGTTTAGTTTGTTTTAAAAATTTTTTTATAAAGGCAAGAGGCTTTGAAAGGTGCTGCTTTTCAGGAGACTTTTCAGCTCCTTGGCCAAGGTATGATGTGGGTCCCCTGTCCACCCACTAGAGCAGTTTCCACATGCTATCTCTGGCTCCACCTCAGTCCTAACCAGGGCAGAGGAAGTTCATGGTGTCGTGGCCAATGTTGAGGGCACTTAGGACTGTGTCCCTCACAGGAATCCACTCTTGGTAGCTGTCCCAATCACTGTGATCTCATTCTGATCTAACTATGGAGCTCAGAAATGTTTCTTCCAGTCAAATCCAGATGAAATTGTTTAGCTGAAAGGCTATAGCTAATGTTCCTAAGTGGGCTTCAAATGTTAGCAAAATCACTGCTGTACTTTGAGACATTTACACTCCTCTCAACTAAAATATCAGTATTTTGAGATGAGATCTTATTTCATGACTAATTCTGTAATTCTATATTAACTAGCGTTTATATAGCTCTTTAAGGTTTACAAATTGCTGCACATATATTAACTCATTTGATATAGTGCTGTTCCTGTAAGAGGTAGTGTGCTTAAAATTCACAAGTACTGGCAGTTCCTAGTTGACAAATGGATTGTATTCAAAAAGTGCATTTGTAAATAAGTTTGAAATTTAAAACACATTTTCCTACAGATTTTTTTTCTTTAATACTCTACCAACCTGTGCTTTCATCATTGTAGGTACTCCTTCCACCAATGAATTCTTCCCCCCTTCCCCAGGGCTTGGAGAAAGTCTTTTGAGAGTTGCCATGGCCAAACCCCCCCTTTTACTCTGCAGCTAATTTGATGATGAGACTCCCTGAATTTAGCCAGACTGGCCTTGGATGACAGGCATTTAATCTATTGCTGAGCTTGTACTTGGAGCCTTGGTGGCTTTGTAGGGTGTGGAAGAGTATGTACTTGGCTGGCATAGCCTGGGAGCCCAGGGTCACCCTGTGAGGCATCAGAGGAAGACTTTAATGGAAGGTTACAGAAACAACAAGATATACAGGTTAGGGTCCTAGAGGGGAGACAGAGAGAGAGAGAAGAGAGAGAGAGAGAGAGAGAGAGACAGACAGACAGACAGACAGACAGACACACAGACGGTGAAGAGAGAAAGAGAGGTAGACAGTCAGAGACAGAGAGAGAAGAGGAAGGAGGGAAGGAGGGAAGGAAGGGGAGAGACAGAGAAACAGAGGGGATGGGGGAGAGAAAGACAGACACAGAGAGACAGAGACAGAGAGGGGAGAGAAGGAAGAAGAGAGAGAGAGAGACACAGAGACAGAGGGAGAAAAAGAGGGAGAGGCTGAGAGAGACAAGAGAGAGAAAGGAGGGAAAAAAGGGGAGAGAGACAGAGAAACAGAGGGGAGAGAAGAGAAAGGCAGAGACACAGAGAGAGAGAGAGACAGAGAGGGGTGAGAGGGAAAGAGAGAGAGAGACAGACAGAGAGACAAAGAGTGACAGAGAGAAAAAGAGTGAGAGGGAGAGAGAAAAAAGAGACAGAGAGAAAGGGAGAGAGAAAGAGGAAGAAAGGGGGGAGGCTTTATCAGGATAAGGTGTTAGTAATTCTGGCAGTGGGATAAATTTTGGTAATATTATAGGAAAACGGATAAGCAGTTGCTTCCACGGCATTGGTGAGAGAGAACAGATCTGCCTACTTGCATTTGTAACCCATCTGGTCTTCCATTCCATAGCAAAAGTCTGGACTGTCAATATAGTCATGGAATGACAGTCCACAAGAAGGCATTAATCAAGCCAATAAATACTTATTCTTCAAATGAGACCTCAATAAATGGATTTACTAATAACTGCTTGCTTTTTCCCCTGTGGCTGTAGTGGGCAGGGTGAGGTTTAGGGATCATAGCTAACCATTCCTATATATCTTTGTAATGTTTAGATAGTGCCTTTGGCCTTGGGGAGGCATAGTTACTACTGACTATTTATAGATGGCAGAGTTTTCCATTATTCACACCAAAGCTGCCTTCCATTTGTCCTGGTTATCAAGGGTCAGCTTCTCCTGTTCAGCATTGTCAGGATTACCCAGCAGTGGCTAATGTGCAAGGAACTTTCACCTCCATCATCACCATCATCGCTGCTTACACATACCTAGGGCCATATGGTTCAATAGTTTTCATGACAACATCCTGGGAAGCAGGTAGTGGAATCTTTGCTATCCCTATTCTACCAATGAGAAATCTGCTACTCAGAGAAGCTAGTGAACTTTCCTATAGTCACTCAACAAGTGTGAGTGCCTTGCCTCAAATCCAAGCCTTCCAACTTCAATTTTCTATCCTCTTTGCCATACTACCTCTTCACATTATTTGAAAAGGTGGTTCTCTCAGAATTTCTGCCAGGCATTAGCAGAGATCAGCTGTGACACCTCACAGACGGTAATTTCTTTATTTTTGTTTTAATGGCTGTAAGCCCAAGAGATGATGGATATACCTGAAATCCTCTTGTGCCAGCTACTGGTCTTTCAGTCTCCTCAAGGAAGTACTTGGTTTTTGTCAGATGACAGCCACAATCAACAATTAGGCTAAAGATAGAGAGACAGCATGATGTAGTATAAAGTGCGCTGGCCTGGAAGTCAGAAGATCTGGGTTCAAGTGCTGGTCCTGTCAGAGACTAGCTAGGTGAATGTTGGAAAGTCCATTTATAACAGCTTCATGTTTCTTTTTAGATCATTCAGAAAAAGAAAGACAGAAACTGGGAGATTATATTAGATTCTTCTTATAGTTGAACCAAGCTTTAAAATCCTACGATTCTATGAAATTGAAATAATAAAACTAGAGTTTTTTTCTTAACAGGCCAACAAAGGATAACATAAGGGAACAGTCCCAATGACATTTTACTAGGACCCAATCTACATGCCTTTCTATTTTTCAAAGAGCAGGCTAGCTGATTTGCCAGCCTTGGGACAGTGGTTCTGTTACTGAGGCATCACTGGGATGGTTCTTCTCAGTGGCTGTTCATTCCAACCACAGACCATGACACATATTGGCATGATAGATTTCTGGTCTTGAAGTCAGGGAGACTTGGGTTCAAATCCTGATTCTGACACTTAATAGCTGTGTGACTTTGGGCAAATCATTTAACCTTTCCAAGCTTTAGTTTCCTCATCTATAAAATGACGAAGTTGCTTTGGGTGGCCTCTAAGATTCTTTAGAATCTAAATCTATGATCCTATGAGACATTGTGGGTGTTTTGAGTACTTGGCCTGCTGATTGGTCAACAACAAACATTTATTAAGCACTTTCTATTTGCCAAGAATGGTGCTAATCACCCATGACATGCCCATGTGGATTCGTTATCCTCTGTGAAGCAGATGTGAAATTTGGTCATTGGGATTTTGAGGCTGTAGTAAGATGAACCTCTGGGAAAAGAACAGGAACACATGTAAGCTGATACCAGGATGCTCTACAGATCCAGGATTAGCCAAACCCAAAGCATTTTCTTCTTGCCTATTCTTTCCCCAGCACCTGCCCCCAACCCTAGTGTCCTTCGTCCTCTCAGATTTCATCTGCTTAATTATCTCTGATTATAAAGATAAATGGTAATCATGAAGTTCTTGAAATTGTGAAAAGGCAAATTACATCTGAGTCACTGAGGGTCTTTAAAATCAAACCCCAAAGCCGGAACTCAGTTTTATGGCCCTCTGTGTTTTGAAGCAACTCTAATTTCTCCCCTTTAGAGACCATTATGGTGCTTTATATAGAACAGTAAAACAACTTGGTCCATTAACCTTTTAAAATGACACAGGAAGGCAGTACCTTTGTAAGCAAGAGCTTCTGATGCAAACCTGAGAAAATGAGACACTAAGCTTTGGAAAAGAGATTCCATGGTGCAGTTAGCCCTTTGTAGCCCAAATACCTGGCAGAAGCTTCCTCTCTTTATGGAGTTACAGACAATGCCAGCTGCTATACCACCAGAGGTGGTGGCAGGGGTAATTGTCAAAGATGACAGGGCATAGGCAGGGCAGTGGTTCTCTGAGAGGCACGTCTGGGATGGAAGTGTCTTGGTTCAAGGGTGCTGGACAAAACAGGCAGAAGCAGCCAGGTCTGTACCTTAGGAGGAAACAACTTCTTGTGTCCCACATAAAGATTAAAGGGGATCTTACTGATGCCTTAAGAGCGAGGCCATCTGACGTTGGTCCTGAGATGTGGAAGTGCCCTGATGTGTACAATCTAACAGCCTGAGGCATGTATCTGGGATGTGACATAGACTCTCTTGAGACTCATCAAACTTAAGGACCACTGCCCACTATTGGTAATTCATGCAGGAGTACATGAGACTGCCAAAAATAAATGGGAAAGATTCTCTAGGGATATGAAGCCCTGGCAGAAAACTAAAGGCTATAAGGAGCACAGATGGCATTTTCATCACAGCTGCTAGGTGACCTTAAAAAAGATGATGGAACCATAGAAGATAAATATGGCTAATAAACAACTTCTTAAGAAATGAACTGAGGTCAGCTAGGTAGCTGAATGGATAGAGCTCCAGGCTTAGAATCAGGAAGACTTTAGTTCAAATCCAGCCTCAGACACTAGCTGTGTGACCCTGGGCATGTCACTTAACCCTGTTTGCCTCAGTTTCCTCATCTGTAAAGTGAACTGGAGAAATAAATGGCAAAACCACTTCAATGTCTTTGCTAAGAAAACCCCAAACAGGGTCATGAGGACTTGGATGTGACTGAAAACAACTGAGAAGAAGAAGAAGAAGAAGAAGAAGAAGAAGAAGAAGAAGAAGAAGAAGAAGAAGAAGAAGAAGAAGAAGAAGAAGAAGAAGAAGAAGAAGAAGAAGAAGAAGAAGAAGTGAACCATGGTGTAAGATAACAGGATGATGGACTCTTGTCTAGAGAAGTGGTATGTCTAATGAGACTTGGGAAGAAGGCATTTACTTTGCCTGAGGTTGAAGGAACTGGGAATACTTAGCCTGGAGAAGGGTTGACTTGGGGGGAATGTGATGGCTGTCTTCCAGTATTTGAAGATCTGTCATGTGGAAAAGGATTAAATTTGTTTTTCTTGACCCCAGAGAACAGAACTGACTCTGGATGTGTTAGAGAGTGATGGATTTAGGCTAGATATAAGGGAAAATTTCCAAACAATTTGAGTTAGAAATTGAATGTTCTCAGATTATCACATATGTATTTATCTGTTTATATGTCATATTATCCCTCTTCCCCCTTCCCCCATAGAATGTAAGTTCCTTGAAGGCAGGGACATTTTTGTCTTTGGATTTCCAGACCCTAACATAATACCTTGCACATAGTAGACGCTTATTATATGTGGCTAGGTGGCTTAGTGGGTAGAGCATGGGACTTAGAGTCAGGAAGATCTGAGTTTGAATTCTGCCTCAGACACTAGCTATGTGCCCCTGGACAAGGCACTTAACCTCTCTCAGTTTCGTCTGTAAAATGGGGATAAATCTACCTTACAGGGTTATGTAAGGACCAGATGAGTTTAAATATAAAGTGCCTTACAAACCTTAAATGCTATATAAATGCTAGTTATTATTAGTATCATCATCATCATCATCATCATCATCATCATCATCATCATCATCATCATCATTGTATCTTTGTTGGATTGATTTAGATTAGAAAAAAAAACCCGGGATGCCTCAGGAGTAAGTGAAGTATAATAGAAGGAATACTGGGCTTCTTGTTAGAAAAGACTACATGGTAGTTGAATCCTACCTCTGACACTCATGGTTCAATTATAGACAAATCACCAATCTTCAGTTTCCTCATCTATAAAATGGGGATAATATCTATTTTCTATTTTCTAATAATATCTATAAATTCCCAGGATTTTTTGTGAGGCTCAAATGAGATAATGTAGGTAAAGTGCTTTGCAAACCTTAAAGCATTGTATAAGTGTTACAAATATATATATTTATGAATATGTATAAATAATTATATAATAAGTTTTATATACATGCTATAATTTTATATAATAAATTATATATAAACAAATATAAAAGTATAAATAGCTATAATAATAATATTATTATTATATTCTAACCTCACTGGAAGACTTCAGGGAGAAACTGGAAGAGCACTTTTCAGAAATGTGATAGAGGAGCTTCCTCTTCCGGCAGAGGTTGGATCAAGTGCCTTCCAAACGTGAGATTCTGTGACTTTGAGGCTGGCTGACCTAATTTAGCAGACTTTAAACTAAAATTGTGGCAAGGCAGCTGGTATTAGAGGAAGAATAATATAGAAGAACTTACTAATCCTCAAGTGGGAATGATGTTCTAGAGGGACAGCAATGATATTGAGAGTTTCAAATTCCCACATCCCAATAAACAGAATATGAGTAATAAAATGGATGAATAGTCTTGAATATATCTTAGCACGTATCACACAAACTTGCTAGGGTGTGAATCATCATTGCAATAGGGCAATGGAAAGGCTGACCTTGTTCAAGAACAGAATAGGTATGAGTGGAAGTGGCCTAGCATCATCCAGTAAGAGGATATTCATCCGTGTGGAAATCCATGAACCTCTGGAAGGATGCCTGGCAGACAGTGTTTGAGCAAGACTTGAAGGAAGGACAGACAGAGGTAATGAAGTGGCTGTAATAAACTACAGGCTCCCAGGAGAGCTGTAGGGATTGTGTCCTGACCCAGACCACAGAGATGCTGTGGAGGCAAAATATAGTTGTATTGAGGCGAGGGAGATGGAGACATTTCAAGAATCTGGACATGTTTTGGAGGTCTCTCTCTGCTAAAACCAGAGCAGTGAATAAATTCTGCTGGCAGCTAGATAGTACGGTAGATAGAATTTTGGACTTGGAATCAGAAAGGCCTGAATTTGAGTCACTAGCTGTGTGACCTTGGCCAAGTCACTTAACCTCTGCCTGCCTAAGTTTCCTTTTTTTTTTTTTGTAAAATGGAGATGAGAATAGTTCTTACCTCACAAGGTTGTGGTGAAGATGAAATGTGATAATACATGTAAAGTGCTTTACAAACTTTAAAGTGCATTTGTAAATGCTAGCTATTATTAGTGTTAATAAAAACTTAAAGGTAGAGAGAGTGATCAAGGTTACTGCTATTCTGGATCCTATTTTGGCCAATAAAGAACTATTTAGTAAAATAGAACTGACAAGATTCTTAGGAAGTACTAACCACGGTCTCTCTCTTAAAGCTTGAAAGAGATAACAACTAATACTTTCTTATAATATTTTAAAGTTTAAGTACTTTCCTAATAATAACAGCAATAATGGTAACTAGAATGTATATAGTTCTTGGCACTGTATTAAGTACTTTACCGTTACTATTGTCATTTGATCTTCACAATACCCTTAGAAAGTAGGTGCTGTTATTATCTCCATTTTACAGATCCGGACACGGAGGCAAGCTGAGGTGGAAGAAGATGATATGAGCACTTTCATCCCCATTTTCCAGGTGGGGAATATCAGGCATTATTTGACATGTTAATATGTGGATGTGATAATATATCTTAAATTCTAGAAAAAGCTTATTTCAAAGAGTTTAGAAAAGTAGAATCTGACAGCCTAAATTCTGATTGGGGTTGTCCACTCAAGAGGGATGGGCGATTCTCAAGAATGAAAGTCAGGGGGCTCAAACATACATAATTCTGATGAAGTAGGAAAGGGATACTTGTCTTAGTATATAATTCTGATTTCAGCAAGACATGGACAGAAGATGGAAATAAGGCACTGTGATTTGCTTTTTGGATAATTTGAGCAATAGTAATGATAATAGCAATAAAAGCTAGCATTTATGTAGCATTTCAAGGTTTCCAAAGCATTTAACTGATATCATCTCATTTGATCTTTACAACAACCTAAAGAGGTAGGTGCTATTATCATCTTCATTTTACAGATGAGGAAACTGAGGCAGACAGAAGTTAAATGACGTGCCCAGAGTCATACATCTACTATTTAGTGCTGAATTTGAACAAAGATCTTCCTGACACCAGGTTCCAGCATGCTATCTGTTTCATCACCTACCTGTTTAATGGAAGTAATAATGATGATGAGATCACAGACCTTTCAAAGTATTATAGTAACTTAAGAAGATTGTTTGTTGTTGTTGTTCAATCATTTCATTCATGTCCAACTTTTTGTGACCCCATTTGGGATTTTCTTGCAAAGATACTGGAGTGGTTTGCCATTCTATAGATAAGGAAACTGAGGCAAACAGGGCAAAGTGACTTGTCCAGGATCACAAGCTAGTAAGTATCTGAGGCTGAATTTGAACTCAGGAAGATAAGTCTTCCTGACTCTAGGCCCAGTACTTTATCCACTATGCCACCTAGCTGTCCCATGAAGACTGTTTACTGAGGCAGAAAGGGGCAGCATTCTGCCTCAGTGAAGGAATTCCCATATGAATGAATGAAATTGTGTTCCTTTGAGTTAATAAGTAAGTAGTTGGGTACTGAGTGTAGAGTACACTGCACTCAGGGGTAGTCTAGGGGTGTTATTTTCCACTTCTTGAAATGATATAGTCATTTAACAGTGCTTTTCCTATGGAAAAAAGATTCCGTGGATGACTCTGTACCAGGAAGTTTTTTCAAACAACTTCTGAACCCATTAGTTTGCCTTTCCTCCTCTTCTTCCTCCTCCTCCATCACTAATAACAACCAATAGGGATTGAGTTCCTGCTCTGTAGGAAGCTGTATTAGAATCAGCTGTACAATGAGATACACACAACTGTAACCTACCATACAGGGCCATGGAATGTACACTAGGTACTAAACGAGTGGCACAGATAATAAGTTCTGCAGGAGTCCTGACGAGGGGTCAATTATATGAACTGGATTCGTCATGCTGGCTTTGTAAGATGTGCGACTTGACGTGGGCCTTGAAGGAAAAGTGGGATGTGGACAAGTGGAGAGAAGGGGATAGGGCATTTCAGGCAGAGGGAGTAGGAAACAAAGCCCTGGAGGTGGCACGGGAATAATAGGTTCCAGGAAGAATGAGTAGGCTAACTTGGCTAGAGCAGAAGGTTGAGAAAAGCGAACACTGTATTTAAAGCATTTTTATTGATATCGTTTGTTTTTGTATCACAGTAATTTCAGAATAAGTCCATTCTCTTTCCCCTACCCAGCAAGCTGTGTCTTGTGATAAAGATTTCTAAAAGAGGAGGGCAGCTAGGTTGCGCAGTGGATAGCGCACCAGCCCTGAAGTCAGAAGGACTTGAGTTCAAATTCGGCCTCTGACCAAACACTTGACACTTACTAGCTGTGTGACCCTGGGCAAGTCACTTGACCCCAATTGCCTGAAAGCAAAAAAAAAAAAAGATTTCTAAAAGAGGAAAAGAAGTAGTTCTGCAAAATCAATACATTAGCCAGGTCTGATAGTACATGCAATAGAAAGACACTCTTCATTTCCATCATTTTCATCTTCTTTTTCCCCTATTTTTTTACTTTCAAATGGTGGCTGGGAAGCGAATGATTTAAGCATCTGTGCACCTGAGCACTGCTTATCTCTCTTTCTTGGTCACCATCATTAATCTAGGTCTGAGTTGTGGAAAGTCTGGAAGGTCCAGTGATTGCTCCAGAGACGTACAGCCTGTTTGTGATGGGACTGGGAACCCATCTTTCATCCCTATCTCCCTGCCTGTTGATTAGCTGGCTTACCTTGGCAAGTAGTGGCTATGTGTGGCAACTTAGCAGCTCCCCCATGTGCTGGACCGATATGCTATGGAAAACACTTTGACTTCTATGATATTTGAGTTATAAGGGCCTGAGTGTTAAGGGATAATTTCTTTACTTCTTGGGACAGAAATTATAGATTCCCTCACAAACCTGCTCTTTCATCCTAACAGTGGCATTTCCCTTGACATGAATCCTCTGACTCCAGCATCTGATTTTGGTTGTTCTCGTTATTGATCTCCTGATGTGACATAAACCTTAGGAATCTTAGGTCATTTTTTTGGGGAAGAGTAGTTGGTCTTTGGAGATACGTGAAGCCAGTGATGTATCTGTAATTCATGGAAAGACAAAATGGTATTCTCAATCAGGGATCATGGCCACCTACATTCACCTCAGTATCATTTCCCATGATGACTGCTGTTAACTTCCTTCCACTCCACTTTTGTATTATCTGATAAAAGGTATACAAAGGGATGAATAGAATTTATTTTCTTGTCCCTGAAGCTTCAATCAGTGTCAGTTCCTACATTGGTGCTGGTCTTTGGCCCTCCTTTTGAATGGCAACTCCCTTTAAAAACTGTTTCTAAGGCAGAGGTCCTTGGCAGGTAGGAGTTAGTAAAATGCTCTGGGAGCTGCAGGGCAATGTGTGAGAAACTCAGCATTCCAATGAAATGTAGGAGATAGAGCAAAGAAACAAGTAGGAAGGACTGAGATTGAGGTAAGTCAGGAAGTCAGAAAGGACACATATAAATCGGGGAACAGCTAAACAATTATGGCACACAAATATAATGAAATGTTATTGTACCATAAGAAATGATGAATATGAAGGACTCAGAGAAGCATGGAAAAACTTAATTGAACCAATGCAGAATGAAGTAAGCAGAACAGGAAAACAACAGATACAATTTAATAGCAATACAAATGGAAAGAATTAAAAAAATAGATCTGTCTTCTAATAACAAACACCAAGAGTGACCCTGGAAAAAAGTTGAGGAAATACATCTCCCTCTCTTCTTTGCAGAGGTAGGAGACTATGGGAGTGTAATATGTATATACTGTTAGACATAATAGATTGCTTGATTTGCCTTTCTTGTTTATTCTTTGTTAAAAGATAGCAATACAAATTTTAAGGAAAGGAAACAGCAGCAATAATGTTGATGTGTATATATGAGCAGCCTGTAGGCCTGCTGATAGAGTAGGAGCAGTGGTAGCATCAGAGTCTGCTTCTTGCTGAATGACTTGAGGGAAAAAGACAGGAGGGGTCGCACAAACTGTTTAAGGCAAATAGCATAAAATCAATCAATCAATCAATCATTAAGTACCTACTGTATGCCAAGCACTCTGCTAGTTGCTGGGGATACAAAACCGAAAAATGGTGCAGTACTTACTCTCTAAGAGATAAAGAACCCTAGGAAGTGAGAATACTTGGACTCTAGCCTTTTTTGCCACTAAGTAGCCATGTGTCCTTGGGCAAGACACAATTTCTCTGACCATCAGTTTCCTCAACTATAAAATCATGGGGTTGATCTAGATCAGAAGTTCTTAGCCTAGAACAGAGCACCCTTAGATTTCAGAGAATTCATGAACTTGAATGGGAAAACATTACATCGTTACTTCAATATAATTGCTTTCCTTTGTAACCCTGTGTATTTTATGTATATCTAAAAGTACTATTCAGGAAAGGGTCCATAGTTTTCACCAGATTGACAAATGGGTCCATGATACAAGCAAAAAAATTGATAACCTCTGTTCTAAATGATCACTAAGGTCCCTCTTGGCTTTAATATTCTAAACTTCTATCGTCAGCTTTTTTTTTTTCAGTTTATGGTGTAGAGAAGTGACAATTTTTACCTTTTAGGTTTAGGGCTGTAGAATGAAAATAGATCTTACAAATCATCTAATTCAACCCCCTCATTTTACAGATAAATAAACTGAGGCCCAGAGAGATTAAGTCACTTGCCCAAGGTCACAGAGCAACAGGATCAGGACTTAAACCTAGGTCCCTCTGATTACAAATCTGGTGCTTATTCCAGTATACCCCATGTCTTTGCCTTCCACAGCTGAATCAAGGATTAAGGATTATTTGGGGAGTTCATGAGTATTAACACTTATCTGAGAGGCAGTGATGGTATAGGGGATTTGGAGCCAGGAAGACCCAAATGCAAGTTTCATCTCTGACACATACTTACTATGTGATCCTGGGTAAATCATTAATCCATTGTTCTAGGTTAACTTTTTAAAGCTTTAAGTGATAAAGAAATTGCCTATTTTCATTGGTAGAGGGAGTTTCTATATCTGGCAGTTCCCTGCACTAACAAAATTACAAGTCTAGGTGCTGTTCCTATTAATAGCCATTGGTGGACACATTCAAGTCTATCTATCTATCTATCTATCTATCTATCTATCTATCTATCCATCTGTGTATTTATCTATCTACCTATCATCCGTCCATCCATCCATCCATCCATCCATCCATCCATCCATCCATCCATTTCATGAGCACTGGTTCTAATTAAGAGAGGCAACAAGGTGTAATGACTTCACTGATCTGTGCCCTGCAGTACTTCAGTCTAAAGGCAGGGCCCGAGGGCCTCGGTAGGCTAGAATCTCCCCAACACACATGTGCCTAGTTTAGGGAATCTCATCCTGAGAATATAAAGGAGCAGGGACAAACTTGGTCTTTGCTGACTTCAATCCAGGAATTAACCACTTCATTTCCTACTTCCCTACTAAGGGGGCTTTGTGAGTTGACTTTGGTTCCCACTGAATCCTATTCTGCCTTCTC